CTGACCAGGGTCCCTGGCCTGGGAGCCTGGAGCCCATGCTACGAATGATGCTGTTTTCTCTTGAACATTTAAAGTCGGCTTTTGTTTGTTTATTTGTTTGTATGTTCATTTGAGGAAAGGAGAGTAAGAATAACTGAATAGAAATGAGGCTGACACTAGTAGTAACTAATTATCTTGACCACTCCTTGCCCTGGACAAAGCATGTCACATTCACTTCCTGGCCCAGTCCTACCTGTGCTTTCACAGGAGGCTACAGCAGGGTGGAGTGAGAGCCCAGACCGAGTCTTTGAACCCCTTCATCCTTCCGCAAACCATTCCTCACTTTTTCAGGAATCAGGTAGTTTCTGCCACCTGAGACTGTCATGAAAATGAAATGATCTGGACGCACAGTGCTTACGTTGTTCCTCATCTGGTGTCTGCGCCCCTTGCCAGTACTGTTACTGATGTGCAGAGGACTGAGAGGGGCTGGTGGCAGTCTTCTGATGGGAGGCAGGCCAGTGGTGGAAGAGACCAGGGTGCAGGGGAACCTGTGTGGAAAGGCTGGGTGAGACCAATGGGTGAGGAGAATGAAGACTTTGGCACATGCCAGGCTGAACAGGTTGGGCTATAGGCCTGGGCTTTCCTTGGGGAGAGCCACAAAGTGCCAGGCACAGAGTAGAACAGGAGCAAAGTCCACTTCAGCTGTGAGGCCAGCAGGTGGGACCCGTGGAAAGAGGCTGTCTCCCATTCAGCCTTCCATGGGATTCTGTTAAGCCTGGCCCAGTTGCTGCTCCCGTCTGAATTGAGCTGAGCAGGTTCCACCCCATCATGCTGGTCTGTTCTGTCTTGGGACAGACTAGTTGCGGCTGGTCCAGTTTACCCAGCCTATGGTTGGTTAGTCTGGTTTGAGATGGCCTAAGGGACTGACCTGGGCTCTTGCTGCCTTTAAGCATTCGAACTGGATTTGCTTTTATCTCAGGTTTTGGATTCTGCCTTTCTGAAGTTTCTGGGAATTTCCTGACGGTTTCTGTTGGAAGGTCCTGTCTGCTGTGTGCCTAGAAACCTTGCCCTTGCTTAGCACTGCTCCTACCCTCTTGATCCTGATTCTTGTGCATGGGAAATTTCTTGAAGCTTGCTTATTAATATCACTGTTCTTTGTTGTCATGTGCTAATACAATAGGTTTTTAGTACTTTAATATTTATTTGACCATTTCAAAAGAAATTTTAAGCATGCAAGTTGAGATACCATCATGAAATTGAGGTCTGGGTGCTCCTTTTATTACGCTACAGTTGAAATGTCATAGAATCCAAATTTCTGGAGCCATGTACCTGTCACCACCATCCACTTTTAGACTGTTTCCATCACTTTAAAAACACCCTTGTGTCTATTTACAGTCAGTTTGGCTTCTACCCCACTGATATGCTCTTTTGTATCTACAAACTTGCCTTTTATGGGGATTTCCTAAAGTAGAACTGTACAGTACATTCTTCTGTATCTGACTTCTTTCACTTAGTGTAATTTTTTTGTCTTTTTGAGACAGGATCTCATTATGCAGTGCAGGCTGGCCTTCAGCTCACTTTGTAGCCCTGGCTGGCCTCAAACTCACAGCATTTATCTGCCTCAGCCTCCCAAGTGCTGGGATTACAGGTGTGTGCCACTGCATCCTGAAGTGTGATGTTTTTGAGGTTTAATCTTGTTTTAGCTTGTATCTGTATTTCATTTCTTTGAGCAGCTGAGTGGCTTTAGTTATGTGGATATACTGCATTGCCTGTCCATTCATCAGTGATGAACATTTGAGTTGTTTCCAGCTTTTGGCTTTTATGAATAATGATGCTATAAACATTCACACACAGGCTTTTGGGTAGATATATGTTTCCATTTAGTTTAGGTAGGTATCTAGGAATAGAATTGCTGGGTTGTATGGTAAACTTTTGTTTAACTTTTTAAAAAACTGGCACATTATTTTCCAAAGTGGTCATATCATTTTGCCCTCCCAGCAATGCCTGAGGGTTCCATTTCTTCACATCCTTACCAACAGTTGCTGTGGTTTATTTCTGAGTGACCCAAGTCAAGTTCATTGTCCTTGGTCACTAATCTGCTGTGCCACCTTGCTTGAAGAAGGGTACATCATCCTGACACCTCAGGATGTGGTTAATTTTAGTGATCCTGAGGGTGTGAAGCAGCATGGCTTCATGATTTTGATTTCCATTTCCCTGATGCCATTTCCCTTGTGTTCATCTATATGTTTTCTTTTGTGAAACAGCTGGGTCATTGTGTGGCTGCTCCTTAAGCCTCACCAGCCATGATTCATGTCCTGGGTGACAGGGAACGTAGATTATCCTAGAAATGATTAAGACGTGCGTGTTCTTAGCCTGTCCCTTAACCTTGCCCATAAAAGATGATTTGGAATAACTACTTTTACGTCGGGATTATCTTGTGGTAAACACTATTTTGCTTAAATGGTTATGTTTTGATCTGCGCGGTTTTGCTGTTATGCCCTCTTTTATCTCAATCTCCATTTTATTATTTACTTTTTTATTTTTATCCTTTTAATTAAGGAAAAATAAGTAAAAAATAGCAGGATATATTATAGTAACCCACTTTGACTTTCCATTATCTTGATTTAAAGCCCTGTATTGCTCTCACCATCTTGTTTTGACTGATGTCCCTCTATTCTGTTTTGCTTGATAGTACCAGGTTTGAAAGTTTAGGCAGCAGCTGTGAAGATAGTGGGATTCATTATGACGCCCATTCTGGTTGACTATTATCTACTTTTGAAGACCTATAATGTCTCCAGTGTTTTGGTTTTGCAGGTTTTGTTCTTTACTGTTTTGTTCAATTTTATTATAACTGATGATATAGGCAATTCTATTAGAGATAGCGGGAGGCATCATGGTAACCATTGTTGATCACCTTGTATTATGCTTTTACATTATCTATTACGTCCACCCTTTTGATTTGACTGACTGTTCTGTTATGTCACATTTGGTTCTACTCTCTTCCAAAAACGTAATAAGAACTGTGGGAGCAACAAAATCCAAAATGTGTAATTGTCATTGTACAAAAAGAGAGGAAAAGAAAGTGCTCTAAACAATATAACTGCATTTATATTTAAGTGTATAAGATAGATAATGATATTACTGAGTTTTGTTGGATCATTGAACAAAACTGTTTGCAGTCTCACTGTTGGAATGTCCACTTTATAAGCTTTAATTTTGTAACTTGAGCAATTATTTCTAAGATGACAATATGTAATCCATTAACTAGTGATTTCCTACTGTTTATTTTTTTCTGTAAACCTGTATAACTTGTACCCTTTCTCTGCTTTTTTTTATCTTTTTCTCCTTAAATAAAATTAAAAAAAAAAAAAGACGATTTGGGTCTTTCCACCTTAGTTTTGCCTCTTAACTTTGTTACTAAAATATTGTACATTGGACAAAGTTATAAACTTTGCCATGTTTTTTCATCTCATGTGTGTTTTGCCAACCCATTTGGAAGTGAGCTGTAAGTTCTTTTTGCCTCTGGGCATTGCCTACTGGTGAAGACCTCTTCCTAGTCACTGGCACAGTGCTCTCCCACTTGGGAAATCAACAGTGACTCAGTGATATCATCTAGGACTCACTCAGCTTTCCCCACATGACCCTTCAATGGTTGTTTATAGGAAAGATTAGTTCTTCTGAATTCTGCGGAAGAAGGGGAAGGTGGGAGGCTCCAGGATAGTCCTGGACAGTTGGAAAGGAAGGCAGGAGAGCAGTTGGGGATGCGAGAGGAGCCATGGCTGGTTGGAGATATGTGAGGAGGAGCCCAGTTACCCTGACATTCCATCTGGCTGCTCTAATGTTCACTGCTGTGTGATGGGGCTTGGAGGTTCAGTCGAGTGAAGGTTGGGCTGGCATTTTCTGTCTTTCCTCCTTACCAGCAGTCTAGGTCTTACGTTCCAAGACCACTTTCCTCATGGGCACTATAGAGTCTGCGGATCCCAAGTCAAGTTCATTGTCTTTGGTCACCAATCTGTGCCACCTTGCTTGAGGAAGGGTGTATCATCCTGACACCTCAGGATGGAAGCTGTTACACCCCTCTCTAGCTCCTCCCCTTTGCTCCATGTCAGTTTGTGTGGAATCTCTGACCTTTGTATCTCAGCCTGTCTGTTTCCCTTTGACTTCACTGCTGCCCCTTCTCTCAAAGGTCCATCCTTGTCTCTTGCTTGGATAAATGGCAGTTGGCTCCCTCTCCCTGCCTCACCACCCTACTGTCCTGGCCATCTTGTGGTTAAACAGCTGCAGCTGCTGGTAGCTGTTTTCTGGGTGTTGTGATGGGGTAGCTGCTCTGGAGGTGGATGCACATGGTGTGGTAGAGCTGGTTCTACCAGACATGGTATCCAGAAGTGACCTGTATGCAAGTCTTGAGTAATGGTGGTGGGACACATGAACAAAGGCACCACGGCATGACTGACTGACCTCTCTGCGCCTCAGTGTCTCCGTGTGTAGGATGAGTGCAGTATTCAGGTCTGTTTCAGGCCTGTGGGCAGGGTTATGTGAGTCCACAGACATCAAGTGTGCGGCAGGCAGTGAGTGCTGTGCGGGGTTACTGTTGTCAGGTTATTACTGCATAGCACTGTGGTACCAGTTTGTCTTCTCCATGGCATTTCTGTCTAAAAGGGCTCAGGCTCTGGTGCTTGCAAAGGCCAGGGATAACAGGCCAGGTGGGAGCTGAAAGCTCCAATGCATGGGGCAACCTGCTCTGCCCAGCTGATGACACCATACAGGGTTATGGGTCCAGTATGCCTAGAAAAGTCAGAGATCTAGAATTCTATGTGAAACCTACTTTTTAGACATTGGTAATTAATTTTAAAAATACTAAATTCTGCACAAGTCCAGTGAACTAGTGAACTTTGTCAGTGGGCCAAGTTTACCATAAAGACTATCATCTTCGGAATCTGCTGAATGTGGCATAACTCTCCCTCCAGGGTGGGAGTCATTGGGGCTGAGACTTGGTTTTGATGAGCTCCTTTTTCTTGCAGGACTTCTCTAGGCAGGTTATGTCACCAGCAGAGGCTGCCCTGAAGCTCCCTGCGGCCTGGAGACTATGTACAAGAGGAATGGTCTGATGGCTAGCGTGTTGGTCACCTCTGCCACTCCACAGGTATGGAGGCTGCAGTCAGGATTGGGTGGGGTTTTCAGCTGACCCAGGCTCCAGCAGAGCCATGGCAGCAAGGCAACAGGCCTGCACTGAATGTTACCGTTCTTAACACTCCAAGGTCCCTGGCCACGCTAGGCGTGAGAGTTGGGAGGCCTTAAGGATCAGTGTGTTTTCTGAAGTTGTTCTCTTCAAAGAAAGCAAATACCTGCTCAGGCCAGCTGTAACAAGTGCCACATTCCATTTTGGTGGCAAGAAGGGATCAGACCTTTCCCAGGAAAAGCTACACTTATTATGAATCAGTTGCACATTCCAGAATGAAGTCAGACAGAAGTCATTCCAGCTGGGCTCTTGTTTACCTTTTTCCAGAGGAAGTGACTATAAGCAGTGGTGATCTGAGGGGGACTTGGTCCAGGGATCCCTTTTGAAGCTTGAGAGTTTGCTCTCCAAGCTTCATAACAGAACTGACATGCAGAAGCAGGGGTGTCATCTGAGGCGGGGTGCCTCTGTGGCTACACACTGGCCTGGCAGGGTTGGGTCCTGGGCTCGCATCAAGCGGGATAATCAGGCAGAAAGTCATAGGAGCCAGTTTGTTTCTTACATATCTCTCCAAAAACTTCTCATATTGACCCTCTTAATGTTGAAATCAAATTTGTAGGTGCTTTTTAAATGTATGGGGCCAGTATAGTTCATAAATAAAGTTACTGCATGACCATCATCATCATCAATTAAAAGATTTAGGGCAATTTTTGACTGAAACAGTCCCCTCGAATAAGTGTACATTTGGGTACAATAGGGTATAACAGGAAAGTTAAAAAAAAAAAAAAAAAAAAGAAACCCTAAATCCCAGCAGTGGATTCTGCTGACTAGAATCAGGTTTCCATTCCACCTGTAAGTTACACTCCTTCCAGAATGAAACTCCTTTGCGAGGGTATGTATGTGTGTTTATAGGAATGGGAGTATGTGTGTGATGGCTGTGTGTACACACTGCACTAAATCTAGTCATCCCTCCATGTTCAAGGATCATAAACCACGAATCAACAGTGCTGAAAAAAATTTCGTGTGTACTGAACAGACTTTTTTATTATTCCTAAATAATATAATATCACAACCATTTATGGAACATTTATAATATAGTATGACAATCATTCATAGAACAGTTATATTTATATTTTGTTATAAGAGATGACTCAAAAGTATATGGGAGGATATGCACAGGTTATGTGCAAATACTAGGCCATTTTACACAACACCCTTGAGCATCTTCAGATTTGGTATTTTTGAGGGGTCCTGGAACAACCCCTGTGGTACTGAGGCCCACTTTATGCACATGCATGTGTGTCAGTACAAGGGTAAGTAAATACTCCATAATATTTGTTGAATGAATAAAAATTGGTGGATAATTGAAGTGCTCGCTAACTCTTGGTGGCTGAATGACACACGCACACCCAGGCATGCCCCTGGGTTAGTGCCTGCTCTACTCCAGGCACTTTGCGTGTTCCTCTTATTTCACCCTCACCACAACCCTATCAGCTGTGCGGCTGAGCTTTATGGATGAGGAACCTGAGGTGTGCAGAGGTAAACATACTGCTTTGATCCCACAGCTGGGCAGGCAGATGGATTCAACTCAAGACTCCCCTGCTGTCCCAGAGTCACCTCTGTCAGCCTGGTTGAGCTGCTTCCAGGAAGGTGGGTGGAAGAAGCCGAAATATTTATAAATCTTTGCCTTTGCAAGGTCAGCACTTAAGACTGGAAAATAGAATCAAGTGCTGATTCTGGAAGCATCAGGAACTGTCTTTATTACTTTTCAGATCCAGATTTTCCTCAGGGGGGAATTTCTCACCTGTGGCACTTTTGTTTTTTTCAGTACAGGGAATTAAACTCAGGACCTTTGCACTAAACTACATTCCTCGCCTCCTGTAAAAAAAAACGTTTCCCTTTGAGACAGGGTTTTGCTAAATCACCAAGTTGCTGAGGAGTTGCTCAAACATGTAGTCCTCCTGCCGCAGGCTCCCAGAACACTAGGATTACAGGCCTGCACCAGCTGCGACAGTTTTAGGATAGCCAGGCCTTGAGCCAGCATCTCCTTGAGAGGGGATTCTGCCGCTGGATTCTCAGCTTTGTTCAGTCACTTGAGCCACAGTGCTGGGATGTGGGAGTTGCTTTATTACAGATGATGAGTGAGACTCAGCAAAATAAAGACCCTTGTCCAAGTTCAGGTAGCAGGCAGTGGGAAGCTATCTTTTCATTCAGGTCTGTCTTCAAAGCTCTTAACCACAGTGGTCTACTGCTTCTTAAGACCACCTCAGGGTTTTCAGTATAGCAGATTCCTTTGTAAAAACCTTTCCATGACACAGGCCTACTGAAGCTAGCAAGTTATGTTCCTATTCCTTTCCTTAACCTCACAGTTTTAGTTGCTGACTAGATTCCCTCACTGGCCTAAAACACTCCTGTTTCCAGTAAGATTGCAGCATTTTTCCAGATATAGCAATTTTGGAAAGAGTGAAATAAGAGGGAATTAATAAAAGCATATTCTGTAAATCCTACTCCAAGATGTTGAGGTTTAATGGAAACCACAAAACCCTTCTTGATGAGTTGAGACGAATAAAATCACTTATGATGAACAGGGCACGAGTTTGGGTGGTAAGCCTGGTGGATTCCCAAAAGTGGAGTTTGATGAAATTAAATAAAATTACAGAGAAGGCATATACAGCATTCTGAGATCCATACAGTGTGGGATTTCATGAAACCAGCTGCGCTTGGGGAGTTTTAACTTCCATTGTTATGGGAGTGCCTTCCTTTGCACGCAGGATTCAGTGTGTCCTTCTCGCAAGGGCCTCTTCTAAGTGTAACTTTCATGACAGTCTCCAAAGCCCAGTGGTTACCTCTCAGCTCATCAAGCAGCAGGCTCTGAATTTCCAGTGTACCACATGTGAAGTAAACCTCCAAGGAGGTCCTCTGGAGGGCCCCTTTAATATTTTGGGCAACAATTTCCATAAGAAGTTTAAGAAAAAAAACCCAAACAAACCAGGTGAACCAAGGTCATGTCCGAAAGACACAGGGGAGCAGAAGATTTCCACAGGCCGCTGGGAGCTGGGGCCTGTTGTCTGTAAGGGAGGATTGTGCTGGGACATTCTGTTATTATTCTGTGGATAGAACCCAGGGTCTCATGCATGCAGGCAAGTGCTCTCCTACTGAGTTCCACCCCAGCCCTGTGCTATAACTTTTTACCTACTACAGCACTGCTGGTCAGAAACAGTGGTAGTGGCCAAAGGTATTTCTGGGGGAGCCGGGCAGAAAACCACATTCACATTCTGGCTTTCAGTTTTGCAGCTCCCTTAGACAAGTAATGTTGCTTCTACTTCCTTATCTGTGAAATGGGTATAATAACAGTATATTCACATAGGATAAACATGAGAGTTAAATTAGAGCATGCATCTGAAGTGCTTCACATAGTGCCTGGAAGCACTGTGTGACTCTAGCATTCTGTGACTCTAGTACCCTCTATTTTGAGGAGGTGGGGGGCAGTGATCCAGGCCAGACCACTCAGGTGGTACCATCTCTCTGCATTCTCCACAGGGCAGCAGCAGCTCCGACTCTCTGGAGGGCCAGAGCTGTGACTATGCCAGCAAGAGCTATGATGCCGTTGTCTTCGATGTCTTGAAAGTGACTCCCGAGGAGTTCGCCGTAAGTGACACAGAACTGACAGGGGTGCTGACATGAGCACAGGGTGCTTTGTGCTTTCTTCCCAGGTTGTGAGCAGTCTCTGTGCTCAACAAGAGGCAAGTGCCGGTAGAGGATGGCACGTCCCCTGTGAAATGCCACAGAAGGGCGCTCTCGGTCTCGACATTGCCTGGCAGGCACCACAGTATTCATGATGAGCTGGTGACAGGACCAGGTCACAACACAGTTAGGGAGAACAACGCCATTTTTAAACAGTGCATGCAGCACGCACACATGAAGTATTTAGACAAGGCCTAGAGTGGATGTTTATGTATTCATATATGTTTGAATCTATGAACGAGGCATATTACTTACTGTAGTTTTTGGTTGTAGATTCCAGGTATTTTAATTTAATTTTTATTCTTTTTATTTTTACTTTCTATAGTTTTATAATTGCCATTTTCTATAATAATAGATAATATTATATGAGCAGTTTTTTTAAAAATTGGAGATCTAAGAAGTTGTTTTTTTTCTCCAGCTGGTGTTGCTGCTGGGCTGACCAGCAGACTGCTCAAGTAAAGCAGAGCTGGCTCCTCATTTTGTTATGACCATTTCCTCCTTGTGGACCTTATAGAAGTGGAGTGCATTGGCTCTGGGGTGACTTCAAGTCTAATTGCAAGCACTGTCCAAGGGCTGTGTTTCTCTCCAGAACCATGGAGGTACTTTAGAGCCACTTTCTCCTGTTCCTCTTTGTGTAGAGATTTCATGCCCTGCCCTGGGCCTTCCTATCACTCAGTCATCCCTGGCTCCTGTGTTCACTCTGTGCCAGGCCCAAAATAATGAAGATCAGCCCTCCAAACCCTCACCAAACTAATTCCATTTTGTAGTGGGCTGGTTCAGCGGGCCCTCCCAGGTGCTGAGGCTGTGCGCCAGACTGCAGTATCACAGGATTGCCTAGTACTGGGGCCAGCAGTGCTGGGTGAGAGTAGTAGAGCACCTGCCAGGGGTGGGAAGGGCTGGAGTACACACAGCTTTTCCCAGGACTCTCAGCGTTTGCCTCTGCTTTTTGCTATTTACCTTTGAGCTATATATGCACTGTAGCTTGGCAAAGAATTGTTGATGACTTTAGTGAAGCTGCAACCTACAGGTCCCTCCTGCCCTGAAATAATCCCCAAAAGTCCATTTGCTCCCTAAGCCATACTCGTCTTCATCTGACTCCTAGTGCCTTCTCAATTCAGAGGCAGATGTTCCTTTTATAGCTCTCCAGAAAATTATAGAACAGCTGTGTCTGAGGGGTCCCTTTAAAACATGCTTAAAACCGGCCAGTGATTCCTCCCTCCTAGAATGAGACCTACATCGCTCCTTCCTGAGGCCCCAGTACTTCTGGGGTCTGGCCACACCTGCCCTGCTGCCCTTCCCCTGGCTGCCTTGCTCTGTCTTGGTCTCTGTCTGGGAGGGCTTGCCCTGCACTTGTGGAATTTCTCTAGCACTGTTTCTTCCCTTATCCTGTTCTTTCTTTTCATCTCTTATTACTACTTAAAGTTACATCACAACACTAATTTTAAAATTGCATATCTCCTCTAGTGGAAAAAAATTCCTAAGGACAAGAACTGAATTGTTCATTGCTTTTCCCCCCAAGACCCAAAATATACCTGGTTAATAGTAGGTACTTAGTAAATATGTGTAATTGAACAAATTCAGTACTTACATAACAGCCAAACAAGGTATGATGTTAATGCTTGATTTTCTGATGGAGAAACCAAGGACTCAAGAAGATTCTTTTCTTAGTTGAATGTTGTTTTTTGGTTTTTTTGTCTTTTCGTTTTTATTGGTACCAGGGATCGAACTCATGACAGCACACTTGCAAGGCAGGCTAAATCCCCAGCCCCTCTTAGTTGAATGTTGGTAGAGGCAGTTCTGAAACTATCACCTCTTAATTACCCACCCAGTGCTGGGAGGTCATATTATGCTCCTGTTTAGATACATATTACGTCTAGGTCTTGAGCTAAATATTTTACATGCCTTAGTTAAGTTCTTTTTTACAATAGCCTTACAAGTCAGGTATAATTATTACTTACGATATACTGATAAACAAATCAGCACCTAGAGAAGTAAGTCACCTCCTCACAGATAGCAAGTGACATAGCTGGGATTTGAACTTGGGACTGACACCCTAGACCAGCCCTTCCCAATGGGAATTTAATCCAAACTACATATGCAGTTTCAAATTTTCTAGTAGCCATGTTAAAAAAGACATGAAGTTACTTTAAGTAAACACTGACTTTATGTAAAAATGATCAGATTATTGCTGTCTAATATCTTTCAAAGTTACAAGAAAAAAGAGAAGATAACCCCTCTTCTCTTCGGATAGTTGAAGAGTGCCAGTAAGCAAATAAAATCTGTAACTATTTTTAAATGACCTGAGAGATGTAAAGAATGAACAGCTTAAGTTGGAAATAGAAAAATCTCAGAAGTGAGGTGGCCAAGCTTAGGAAAGAATTGAGAATAAGAAAAAAATTTTAGAAATGAAGTTGAAATATAAGAAACACAAGAACAAATAAATATAGCAGAAAATGACTTAAGAAAGCGAACTTTTTAATATCAAAATAAATGAGGAAAGAGATCAAAAGACTGAGAGAAAGTGACACATTAGGCAAAGAAGATCCAACATACAGATACTAGGGATCCGTGAAAGGAGGAAGTAAAAGGCAAGGGAGCTGAACCCACACCTAAGTATGTAATTTAAGATAATGTTCATGGAATAAAAGACCCAACAGTAAACACTGAAAGAGCTCACTATGAAGATGAGACCATTAACCCCCAGTGTCTAGTACTGCGGACATATTCTTGGTAAACTACTAGATTTCAAAGGAAAAAGAAATCCTTTGTGTATCATGGAAAAAAACAGCAAATAACTTAAAAGGGAAAGGAAATTAGTCTAGCACCAAACTTTTTGAAATAAACATCCTAAAATATATTTTTATTAGTACCTATTCATTTTATAAAATAGTGGATTTTAAGATGGTATTTTCCTACACGTATATATTTTGATTATATCCACTCTCCCTATTGTTTTCCAACCCTCATCCATTATTCTCTTTTCTAATTATAGTCTCTTTTTTACTTTCATGTCTTTTTTAGATTTCACATATTAGGGAAACATGTTTTACCTGAGTCTGGTTTATTTTGCTTAACGTGATGATCTTAAGTTCCATCCATTTTCCTACAAAGGATATAATTTCATTCTTCTCCATTGTGTATTTATACCATATTTTCTTTATTCATTCATCTGTTGATGGGCATCTAGGCTGGTTCCATATCTTGGCTGTTGTTAATTGTACCTCAATAAACATGGGTGTGTATGCTGATTTTAATTGCTTCAGTTATATATGGAGGGGTCGTATGGCTGAGTCGTATGGTAATTCTTAGTTTTTTGAGGAACTTGCATATTGACTTCTATAGTACATCTACTAATTTACATTTGCACCAACAGTGTAGAAGTATTCATTTTTCTCCCGCATTTATTATCATTTTGTATTCTGATGATAATCATTCTTTCTGGGATCAGATATAATCTCAGTGTAGTTTTGACTTGCATTTTCCTAAGGACTAAAGATGTTGAACATTTTTTCAGATACTTATTAGCCATTTATACTACTTCTTTTGAGAAGTATCTATTCAGTTCATTTGCCCATTTATTGATTGGGTTAATTGAAGTTTTAGTGTTAAGTATTTTTTAGGGTTTTAAAAAATATTTTTGATATTAAATCTCTACTGGAAGAGTAGCTGGCAAAGATTTTTCTCCAATTCTATGGGCTGTCTCTTCACTCTTGCCATATAGAAACTTTTTAATTTGATGTAGTCTTACTATTTTTACTATTATTTCCTATGCTATTAGAGACCTACTCAGGAAGTGTACCTATGACTTAAGTGTTTCCCCTGTGTTTTCTTCTAGAAGTTTCAAGCCTTATATCTACATTTTTGATCTATTTTGAATTGATTTTTATACCAGGTAAGAGATAGGGATCTATTTTCAGTCTTTTGTGTACGGATGTCCAGTTTCTCAGCGCTATTTGTTAAAAAGACTTCTCTGACATGTTTTTGGTCCATTTGTCAAGAATCAGATAGCTGAGGTTATTTAAGTTTTTAGGGAGTTCTTTCTTTCTTTTTGTCAAAGGAAAATGGGATAACATAAGTAGGTTAAGGAAAGAAAAAAAATGTAACCCAAATTTTATATCTAGCAAAACTGACCTGACAGTGTCAAGGACATAGACAGTTGTGTTAGGAGCCTGCACAGCCTCAGAGAATGTCATCCTCTGAGCCTTCCCAAGGAATCTACCAGACAAACTTAAACAACAAGAAAGACAGCATATACATGTGAGACTTGTGGAGAGCAGTGAACACACATTTACTTGTAAAACTAAGTGAGGAATAAAACATGGAGGTTATAGTTTGTAATGGCTATGCCTAGATAGTAAACAAGAATGTGGCTCAAAGTATAAACTAAAAATGGGGGGAGAACTGAGAGAACATATGCAAAAATATCAAAGTTACTTGCAGTATTATATTAGTGATGGTATTAGTATTGTGATTCTGAGGCTGTTGTGTATATAATGTAGGATAAAGTAAATGAATATTTTTGGTGTACTATAACCTAGCATATTCCTCATATATAAGAGCAAAATTTTTGATATAGAAGAAAAGAGATGGTATATATATATGAGTAGTTAAGTTGAACTTCAATTATAAATATTAAATATGAATTCCAGATTGTAGCCTTGAGATATCATTTTCTGTAGAAGAACCCAGGGATTCCTGGAGAACTGGTCAGCTTCCAGTGTGGGACTGGAGATGTTCAGAATGAGTCTGGCATATACTCCAGTTCCAGGAAGGCAGCCATAAGGGACAGTGAGGCTTATGACAGAAGGATTCAGGAGCCATCAAGAAGACGCTCTTGCTTCACCTTCAAAAGGATAATAATTTTAGGTGACTCAAAGCCATCAAACAGTGGGCCACTGCCGGAT